ATGGTCTCGATCTCTTGACCTCGTGATCCACCCGCCTCGGCCTCCCACAGTGCTGGGATTACAGGCTTGAGCCACCGCGCCCGGCCTAAACATACTTTTTTCTAGTGTTAATTGTAGTGGCTATATTTATAAATCTATAATTTCAAGGTCATACAAGACCACTGTTATATTTAGCTCCAATAAATCTTAAGTCTTGCTCATAACTAAGATGTCTCAGTGTCAGATAAGTTACATCTGTTTATGCAAAAGAAGGATGTTGGGATTATAAAAACTAGAGACGGCAGATTCCACCTAAAGGCATTCAGATTCAAACATTTTAAAACCACTGTGTTGGCCAGACATAACACATCTTCAGGCTCTGGCCACCTCAGCTGTACTCTTTCCTAAAAAATTAGTTGATGTCTCTGCAAAAGTATTGGCCTATTTTTCTAATGCTTTAAGATATACAAAATTTAAATAAGACCTGGTTATACAGAAGTCTTTACTAGATCATACCCTACTATGTTTTGTCACCTTCTCTTTTTTTTTTTTCCTCTAGAAATAGGATTTCTCCATGTTGGTCAGGCTGGTGTCAAACTCCCTACCTCAGCTGAGCCGCCTATTTCGGCCTCCCAAAGTGCTAGGAGTACAGCCTGTTTTATCACCTTCTAAGCTCTTGGTTTGTCTAGCTGGGCACCATCAGGTCAGCTAATCTAATAAATGTAGGTCTAGCCAAGGCCTTTACACAGAACACTCATACTTCGCCCTCTCTGCTTGAGAAAAAACTTAGATGGCTCATATTAACCCTAAACCACTGGACAGTAGAATGGGTCAGCCTAACTCTTGACATAGTTTTTACAGGATGGAGACAACAAAGTCAATTTTCTATGTACTACCATACTATACTATGCATATAGCATACAGGCTATTTACAAGCCTATACTATAAATATTTTCCCTTACAAGATAAATTTGGGGCAACATTTCTCTTTAGTTTGCTTTTAAATCCTTACTTCTGAAAATCTTTGTTTTATAAAATAAGTTATTTATAAATATATTCTATATTTTATTATTTTATGCCATACATTGTTTTAATTTGTTATTTATTGTTTTAGACTAAGAAGAGTAAAGATTCAGAGACTTCTAGATTATGAAGGGACTTAGAGAATGTGATTGTCATCATTTATAAAACAAATGTAATTGTTTAGTACCACCCTAGAGATCATGAAAAAAAGAAACTGATGAATTGAAGAGTGTTGCTGGGTGCAGTGGCTTACTCCTGTAATCCAGGCAATTTGGGAGGCCAATCACTTGAGGCCAGGAGTTCAAGACCAGCCTGGTCAACTTGGTGAAACCCTGTCTCTACTAAAAATACACAAATTATCTGGGCATGGTGGTGGGCACCTGTAATCACAGCTACTCGGGAGGCTTAGGCAAGAGAATTACTTGAACCTAGGAGGTGGAGGTTGTAGTGAGCTGAGATTGTGCTACTGCATTCCAGCCTGGGCAACAGAGCAAGACTCTGTCTCAAAAAAGATAAAAAAAGAGAGAAAGAAAGAAAAAAGTGTCACTCTGGGTTTTGTCAGAAAAACAGAGCCATGGTATGTATTGCACCAGTAGGGAATTTAATAGAGCAAATTTGGGGTTACCTGACATAGGTAAAGTTAGAGAAATGAAGATCTGTGGTAGGAAACTCAGAGAAACCGCCTGAAGCCCTGGAGCAGGAAAGAAAGCCATGCATGCATTACAGCTAGGAAGTCTGGACACCTGCCATGTCTGATCACCTTCCAAAACTAATAGCCTCTGCTTCACTGGCGACTTGCAAATCTTAGGCAAATTCTTCTCACGAGCAGACAGTCACCTGAAGCTATAGGGGAGGGGATTTGCGGGAATGTAGTCCAAGCCTTAGAAGGGAATGGTAGTGATAGTGCCAAGTTAACATAGCACAGTTGCAAACCCAATTCATAGCACTCATTCATTCTATAACTCCTACCTTTCTTGATCTTTTCCTGGACCCGAATGTATGTATGTCTCCATTGGTTATTAAACAACCCTGGAGTCTTGATGTCTTATACTTTTTCATGGAATAATTTTAGATTGCTTCCTATAGATATAGACGTCTTTCTAAGACTTTTTAAAAATAAGACTAATTTTACTCATTCCTATTTCTTGAACTCTAAACCTGAGGTAGGTTCACTTTGTAAACATTGCTTGTACCGTCTTACCTGAGCAAAGCCCCAGGTTGTTAGAACCACAAACATGAATTTCACCAATGATTTAGATTCCCAGGCTTAGTAAAGAAATTTGTAAATAAAGACTACATCAATAATTATTCTGAAATACTGAGAAATCTCAATATTTGCATTAGCTAGATGCTTTGAGACTAAAGTCCACAGCAAGATTACAGAATAGAATCTGTTTTCCAGATTGATAGAGGAAATGTTTATATAGCACTTAACCAGCCTGTCTAAAGCCAGTGACCTAAACTCTAGTCTGTACCTTGTTAAAACTACTCATAAGTAACAACCTTTACTTACCTTCCTCTTTATCCATTCACCTATAGATCATTTGAAAGTCTTTCATGACAAAGCAGATGATGAGTAATTGAAATGCAACTCAGTATAGTATTTTTACTAAATGATTGTTTGTTGCTTTCCAAATGACTATATTAGACAAACTTGGCAGATTTGGATATACACTTTTTGAATCCTAAGTGGTTGAGAAATATGAATTAACTTACAGAGCAATTGAATATGTGAGTGATAACATTATTTTGGAGGCCGGGTGCGGTGGCTCACGCCTGTAATCCTAGCACTTTGGGAGGTCGAGGTGGGTGGATCACCTGAGGTCAGGAGTTCAAGACGAGCCTGGCCATCATAGAGAAACCCCATCTTTAAAAAAAAAAAAAACAAAAACATTATTTTGGAGAGTATTCTTCTATTTAGTAGAAAGATGTGTAAAATTTAATGGTTGAGGTACACGATCAAAATTTACTTGTAACTGAATGAATTTTATTGCTAACAGTTTTAGTCATGACTCAAATATAAATTGTATACATGTGAATGATTTGTTTATATCTTGTTTTTTGGGTCAGTAATTCTACACATTAGTTTTATAATGTGTAATTAACTGCTAGTGGATCAAAATTATGTAATTACTTACACTGGACCTCAATACACAAAATTTGGCATGCTAAGATGATACCTGATGATGCTAGTTGTGAGATAACATCAGTAAGTAGGTGGGTAATACTAATGGGTCCACTAGTTCTTGCAAGACAGATAAGTGAAAAAATTTTTTTTCTAAACATGTTAGGCAAGCCTAGTGTTAGCTGAAAGCCTGGTAGTGAATTCAGAATTATTTTCACAGTGCAATGTGAACTCACTGGACTTACTAAAGAATTATTTTGGGCTTTAAGATTTCATATGCTGTTTAAACACAGCAGACAGCATGTAGATTTTCTTCAGTGATACATGAAAATATCCACTTTAACAGGTAAACATTGGGAAGATGGATTCACCCATTGAAAAGTGGAACTTAATAATTGGCAACTTGGCTTTAAAGCAGGTAAGTGGTACACATATTTGTTTACAGGTCTTGGATGTAGAGATTTGGAGTGTTATCTATAAGATTCGTGTACATTTTAGTACTGTGAGTCTACCCTTTATCTGCTTTTGGAAACACCAGAACAATAATTTAGTACCTTGGAAGACTGATGGAATAAATGGATACTCATGACTTCTGAAAGCTATTTTTGTTTAGAAACTAATTCTTAAAATTGTGAAAAATATATAATATACAAAATATTGAAAAAATATACAAAATATTTTCTATCATAAGTGTGTATAGAGCCAGAATTTGCATTAATATGTCTGTTTAGTAAATATTTGACACTTCATTAAGTTCTGTTTTTTTACTTTGAGATTTAAAGATAAGCTGAGCTCTTTCTATGTATTATAGTCAGATATTTGTTTGTTTTCCTTAATTTGTTATTAGTATTAATAGAAACAATACAGTAGTTTATCAATTACATATACACTGAACTGTGAACTGTGGATTGTGTATAATCTACAGCTCTTTCTAATCTTGGGTGAGTACCTCTTTCTCTTTTCTGTTCACCCTCTCCTATCCCTAAAACTGAAGACTGTGACTACCCCTAGTAATATCTAGCTAGTGTGAACTTAGGGAATGCACACTAGTTTTGACATTAGTTCAGCTATGACATAATGTTGAGAACATGGCTGCAGGAACAGAATTTCATGTAATTCAAGGACAAAGAAATAAAGCACATTTTTTGAATATGTGTGCAGTTGCTTGTAAGATCACAGATGTGGAAATAAGAAAATCTGAGATCTGACCTCAGCTTTAACATTAAACAGTTTATTTATTTATTTATTTATTTATTTTTAAGACGGGGTTTCACCATGGTGGTCAGGCTGGTCTTGAACTCCCGACCTCAGGTGATCTGCCCGCCTTGGCCTCCAAAGTGCTTGGATTACAGGAGTGAGCCGCCACGCCCGGCCCCATTAAACAGTTTATAACCTTTATTAATCTATTTAACTTTTCTGGGCTTCACTTTTATCTTTTATTTATTTTTTTCTTTGAAATAAATTTTAATTATTATTTTTTTTCTTTTTGCTTTTTGAGGCAGGGTTTTGCTCTGTTGCCCAGGCTGGAGTGCAGTAGTGCAATCATGGCTTACTGCAGGCTTGATCTCCTGAGCTCAAGTGATCCTCCCACCTTAGCCCCCTGAGTAGCTGGGACTACAGTTATGTGCCACCACGCCTGGTTAACTTTTGTACTTTTTGTAGAGATGGGGTTTTGCCATGTTGTCCAGGCTGGTCTTTTCTTTCCATTTTTAATTTTTGTGGGTACATAGTAGGTATATATATTTATGGGGTACATGAGATGTTTTGATACAGGCTGCAATGCATAACAATCACATCATCTAAAATGGTATATCCATCTCCCCAGCATTTATCCTTTGTGTTACAAACAATCCAATTATACTCTTTTATTTTTAAATGTACCATTAAATTATTATTGACTAAAGTCACCCTGTTGTGCTCTCAAATACTAGGTCTTATTTATTCTATTTTTTTGTACCCATTAACCATCCCTACCTCTCCCACACCCTCCTGCTACCCCTTCCCAGATTCTGGCAACCATCCTTCCACTCTCATCTCCATGAGTTCAATTGTTTTGATTTTTAGATCCCACAAATAAGTGAGAACATCCAATATTTGTCTTTCTGCTTGGCTTATTTCACGTAGCATAATGACCTCCAGGTCCATCTGCGTTGTTGCAAATGTCAGGATGTCATTCTTTTTTATGGTTGAATAGTGCTCCACGTATATAAGCACCACATTTTCTTTATCCATTGATCTGTTGATGGACACTTAGTTGCTTCCAAATCTTGGCCATTGTGAACAGTGCTGCAACAAACATGGAAGTGCAGATATCTCCTTGACATACTGATTTCCTTTATTTAGGATTATATACTCAGCAGTAGGATTGTTGGATCATATGGTAGCTCTACTTTTAGTGTTTTGGGGAACCTCCCAAACTGTTCTCCATAGTGCTTGTGCTATTTACATTCCCACTAACAGTGTATGAGGGTTCCCTTTTCTCCACATCCTCACCAGCATTTTTTATTGCCTGTCCTTCAGATAAAAGCCATTTTAACGGGGGTGAGATGATATCTCATTGTAGTTTTGATTTGCATTTCTCTGACCATCAGTGTTGTTGAATAACTTTTCATATACCTGCTTGCCATTTGTATGCTTTCTGTTGAGAAATGTCTATTCAGATCTTTTGCCCGTTTTAAAATCAGATTATTAGATTTTTCCTATAGATTTGTTTGAGCTCCTTATATATTCTGGATATGAATCCTTTGTTAGATGTGTAGTTTGCAAGTATTTTCTCCTGTTCTGTGGGTTGTCTCTTCACTTTGTTGATTGTTTCTTTGCTGTGCAGAAGGTTTTAAACTTGATACGATCCCATTTGTCCATTTTTGCTTTGGTTGCCTGTGCTTGTGGGATATGACTCTATACATTTTTGCCCAGACCAATGTCCTGGAGAGTGTCCCTGATGTTTTTGGGTAGTAGTTTTATAGTTTGAGGTCTTAGATTCAAGTCTTTAATCCATTTTGATTTGATTTTTGTATATGGTAAGAGATAGGGGTCTTGTTTCTTTTGCATATGGATACCCAGTTTTCTTAGTGCCACTTATTAAAAAGAATGTCTTTTCCTCAGTGTATGTTCTTGGCACTTTTGGCAAAAATGAGTCCTGTAGATACGTGGATTTGTTTCTTGGTTCTCCATTCTCTTCCATTGGTCTGTGTCTGTTTTTATGCCAGTACTGTGTTTTGGTTACTGTAACTCTGTAGTATAATTTGAAGTCAGATAATGTGATTCTTCCGGTTTTGTTCTTTTTGCTTAGGATAATTTTGACTATTCTGAGTCTTTTGTGGTTCCACATAATGTTAAGATTTTTTTGTTCTATTTCCGTGAAAAATGTTATTGGCATTTTGATAGGGATTACATTGAATCTGTACATTGCTTTGGGTAGTATGGACATTTTAACAATATTGATTCTTCTAATCCATGAACATATTTATACTTTTTGATGTCCTCTTCAATTTCTTGCATCAATGTTTTATAGTATTTTTTTTGTTGTTTTTTCTTTTTTTTTTTTTTTTTTTTTTTCGGAGTCTTGCTCTGTCACCCAGGCTGCCAGGCTGGAGTGCAGTGGCACAATCGCAGCTCACCGCAGCTTTCGCCTCCCAGGTTCAAGTAGTTCTCCCACCTCAGCTGGGGTACCATGTCTGGCTAATTTTTGTATTTTTAGTGGAGACGGGGTTTCATCATGTTGGCCAGGTTGGTCTCGAACTCCTGACCTTAGGTGATCCATCTGCTTCAGCCTCCCAAAATGTTGGGATTACAGGTGTGAGCCATCACACCCGGTCTGTTTTATAGTTTTTATTGCAGATATCTTTTACGTCTTTGGTTGTTTCTAAGTATCTTATTTTCCTTGTAGCTATTGTAAATGGTATTACTTTCTTAATTTCTTTTTCAGATTATTCACTGTTGGCATATAGAAATGCTACTGATTCTTGTGTGTTGATTTTGTATCTTGCAATTTTACTGAATTTATTTTCAGTCTAATAGTTTTTTAGTGGAGTCTTTAGGTTCTTCCAAATATAAGATTATATCATCTGCAAATAAGGATAATTTGACTTCTTTCTTTCCAATATAGGTACCCTTTGTTTCTTTCTCTTTTATGCTTGCTTTAGCTAGAACTTCTAGTACTATGTTAAATAACAGTGGTGAAAGTCACTTTCCTCTTTAAATATCATCATTGCGTTAGAGATGTCTAAGATCTTTTTCAGCTTGAAATTGTAGGAATCTATGCAGGGGTAATAATAAAAATATTTAACAACCAGTAGGGTACTATAAATAATATATAAAATTTGAAAATATATTCCATTTATTTTTAAATACCCTAAACTCTTACAAAGTAATATAAGTTGTAGTGTAAATTATTTGTCAAATTATCCTAACAATTTTCATCTCAGCTTTTCATTTTTCCTCCCATTCTTAGTCTTTACTTTTCCCTTATCATCCTCTCTCCCTGCAACTGTCAGTCAAGATGGGAGTCAGACAAGGAATTCCTTGACTCTAGTTGCCATAAGCTGAAGCCTGTGTCTTTATATGCCCTATTTCACCAAGGATGTATGAATATGAAGAACAGGGAACCACAACCAGGTCCCTCAGGACACATCTGGTACCAGCCAGTGGGGCAGCAATGGGTTGAAGCCCAGTCACAAGTAGACAAAAGTGAGAAGAAAAGACGATGGGGCAGTGGGGGTAGTGGTTGGGGGAGAGAGTTTTTTCTTCCTGAGGCTTCTTCTGCTAACACTTGTGAAGGAGTAGATGATGAGTGTGAGGAGGGGAGCAGGATGGGTTGGCACAGCTTTCCTCTGCCTGGAGACTGGCCATGGAAGGTAGAAAGAGAGAAGAGTAGAAAGCACAGAGGAGGCCCACACTCCCACTTGCTCAGGGATGTGCTCTTCTCACTATTAAATGGAGTCCCAGGCAGATTGCCTGTCACAGACTTTGTCATAATCGTACAGAATGGCTTCCTGGACCAATACATAAGTAGTCAAATAAGCCAAAGTCTCTGGTCCATCTGAGGAACTGTTGCCTCACCAGGAGGGACTTGTCCCGTACCAACATCTCTTCAGGCCTATGGCCCCTATTAACCTTCCCATCTACTACTAGAACCCAGACATCACTTTCTCTTGTGTACAATTAGTCATTTTTCAGTTAACTTCATCTCAGCTTGTGCTTTTATTTTCTCAGAAATTGATAGACCTATACATGTATACATACATATATACATACCATGATGTCTATAGTAGGCTCTCTAGCCCTGTGTTCCAATGTCAAACCAGACAAGACTTGGAATCATAATGCTAGAATTTATATCATAAATTAATTTTACTGCTTTAAAGTGTAATTACGTTATTTACTAACCAGAATGAAAATACTGAAATGTTTTAATTGCTACAGTTGTCATGGCGCTTATTAGTTTGAATCTCAGCTCTGAATCTGTGAATGACATCTACAGGAGCTATAATATTAATATATGATCATGGGGCTGGAGTCCAGAATACCTGGACTCTTTAGTCCTGGCTCTTCTGTTGATTTACCATATGACTACCTCAGGAATTTTTTACTTGGAGCCCTCGATTCCAGCACATGGATTGGCTTCAGAGAGTCCATGTACACCAAGAAATTCTACTCAAAGTATTGAATGCCTCTGTGTTTGCCTAGAGAAAGAGAACTCCATTCTACAGAGTTTTTACCAGATTGTCAAAGGAGTCCATGACACAAACACAGCTAAGAATGAGTGCAATAGATGATTCCCTTAGGGTTACTTTTAGTTCTGACATCCTATTAATCTGAATCTGAGCTGGAGATCAGTGTTCTTTCTTAGTTGTGGGTTTTTTGAGTGTTGCTTTGTGTCAGCACCATGCAAAGCACTTTATATATTTATATAATTAATTTAAATCACAAAGTTTGAGGTTATCATTGTTGGCTTACTAATGAGGAACTGAAATTTTCATAGCACTAATCACAATTGTGCTTATTTGTGAGGTTATTTCAAATGTCTGTCTCTCCCACTGACCAAGAGCTCTGTGAGGGCAGGGAATAAATCTGTGTTGACCACTGCTATAGCCCAACACAAAACATAGCATGTTATACATGGTAGAATCTAAATAAATACTCATTGAATGAATGAATTTAAATAATTTGCTGCAAAATTAAGTGCTAGAACCAGGAGTCAAACTCCTCGTTCGATTATAAACTCCAATCTCTTGCCAACACTACCTCTAGAGTCAGACTTCAGACGTGTGGATTGGGTACTTCTCAGCCTGAAGGTGGCATTTTCTTAGGTGATCTATAAATTATACCATCAGCATCACTTGGGGTGCTTGTTAAAAACAGATTCCTGGATTCCATTCCATCCCTGTTCTCACCAGATCATCCGGGCAGTTTGAGAACCCACCATTTTAGGGAACATTAAAACTAAAATATTGTAACTCTAAAAGGTAATGTAGCTCATTTATGCAATACTTTTTTTTTCTGATTTTTTATAGTAATGTTTATATTATTAAAATTTTAAAATGTGTTTTTAAAGTGAATAATTCAGTTGGATTTATAAAAAAATTTTTAGGTTCAGGCAACAGTAGTTGGTTTTCTAGCAGCTGTGGCAGCAATTATATTGGGCTGGATTCCAGAAGGAAAATATTACCTTGATCATTCCATACTTTTGTGCTCTAGCAGTGTGGCAACTGCCTTCATTGCATCTCTTCTGCAGGGTAAGTGAATTTATAAATGTCTACTCTATAGCCTTTTATATTTACATGGTTTATTTCTTAAGATGATGACTATTTTTATTTAAATGATACTTGTTTGTTATGAAAACAACAGAAAAAAACTTATCTACAAATGTTAAAAATGCCCTAATTATTCCAGATATATTTATATTTTATTATTTATAAACCTTAGTGAAGAGCAGGCTTTTCTGAAGTTGTCTCCTGGCCTTAGATACTCCATTGTAGTTCCCCAAAAAGATCAGGAACAGCAGCACTTGGACATTCATTTGTTCCTATAAGTCAAATTGATTGAGAAACTCCTTTCTGGACATGCAGGGGATTGACTGGCTTGTCACTTGAGTAACAAGTGTTCCAGGAATTCTGGGTTTCCAAAGCCGTCTTCTGTTAAAATTTTGTTGTTTCAGATTTCAAGAAAAATTTCTTCCCTGTTTCTGTGGTAATACACATATAACCCTATGCTTAAGACAGCATATTGTTGGCTGTAGAATTTTAAAGAGCCAGAAGGTTTTAAAAATTAACCACTCGAGAACTTTTATTTGCGTTATTTTTCTTTATATTTATTAATGTGAACTTTACACTAGAGAATTAGCTTATTGTGGAATCATAATCATAAAGACTTTTTTTTTTTAATTTTATAATTGCCATTTTCTTGCCCTTATATCACCAGCAAAGTTTTAAATGGATTATTATCACATTAGGTGATCATACAATGCAGCTAACTTTTCTGGCTAGGTTCTGGGAATTTAGGGGAATCTTATTAAAATTATGGCTTGACTTCCAAAATATTTTTAAGCATTTCGTTTTAGCACTTTAACTATGTCAGGGGTAGTTTCTTGTCTTTTTAAAGAATTGCTACATTGAATGGAGTTAACATTGACCAAAACAGAGTGAAGTTAAGCTATTGGAAAATTAAATTTTTGGTACAAAAAAGTGTTATACCATCAGCACACTATGCTTTTAGACTCATTTGCTTCTTTTTTCTCTCTGATTTTCTTTCATTTTTTAGCCTAACAAGTATCTGAAAGCTTTGCAAAACTTCCAAAAATTCAGAATTTTAAAATGTATTTGTTTAAGGCTTCTTACTTTGAATAATGTGTGTTCTAATTTTATGATAACTTCACCTTTATAACCACTTTGGTATATGTAAAGTAGAAACTCCTAGTCATATTTGTAGGTGAGAAAACTTAACTCAGGTAAGGTGACTTGTCCAATCTCATCAACTTGTTACCAGCAGAATCAGAACTAAGATCCAAGTTTCCTGACTCCTAGCTCTTTCCACTGGACTATGATACATGCAAAAGTTTGTTTTTAGCTTAAAACTATAGATGGTACTATGTATCGGAGAACTTCCCATATACATCTTTAAATATGCTGATTTTGGAAAAAGATTCTAAGCAATTACATCTTGTTTGAATATTGCATAATGTATTTTTAAGTTTTCTGCTATTGCTTTTTTTCTTTTTCAATGATATTATGGGAAAGGTAAGTCTAGTAATCTTAAAAGCTTCCAGAATATTAAAATGTAAGGCATTGTTTGATGAGACAAAATTTCTGCTTATTAAAATGTTGGCTTTAATAGGTAGATAAAAAACACTGGGCTAGAATCACAAGCTGTGTGAGTTTAGGCAAGAATTTAAGCCCTACTCTACAGGATCTCAGTTTTATTATCTATAAAGTGAGTATGCTGGAACAAAAACATTTAGAGTCATTTTAACTCTAAAAATGCAGTGAAATTCTGTTCTTTTTTTCCCCCCATAGCCATAGTTAGGCTTTCATATTGATTTGTGGTTAGCACATTTAAAGTTTTCTCTGTACTACATCCTCTTAATGAATATCTTGGTGTGAGAAAATATACAATGTAGTGTGAATATAAATGTTAACAGTTTTATCTCATTTGTATGATTTAAGAAAATTAGGATGTAAAAGCACAAGTACACAGTTAAATTTTCATCTTCTGTTCTCTTATATGTTTATAAACAGAAACTTCAGGTTTAAAGAATATCTTTTACAAAGATTTTTTCTTGTGTTGTGGCCTTCAGTGTTTTCAAATTTAATTATGTCCTGCTGCTTAATACTTCAATGCCTTTAAATAATAAAATGAGGCCAGGCGTGGTGGTTCACACCTGTAATCCCAGCACTTTGGGAGGCTGAGGTGGGCGGATCAGGAGGTCAAGCGATAGAGACCATCCTGGCCAACTTGGTGAAACCCCATCTTTACTAAAAACACAAAAAAATTAGCTGGGTATAGTGGTGTGTGCCTGTAGTCCCAGCCATTTGGGAGGCTGAGGCAGGAGAGTTGCTTGAACCTGGGAGGTGAAGGTTGCAATGAGCTGAGATCAGGCTACTGCACTCCAGTCTGGCAACAGAGCATGACACTGTCTTAAAAATAATAATAATAATAATTATTATTATTATAATAAAACGAAGCAAGCATTTCTAGCTACCATATGTGAACAAATCTGGTTTTGTTGGTCGTCTTCACAGTTGTTGTACATATAAATATGACTCACCTTTTTTTTTATGCTTTCATACTTTATTTGAGGATTAAAATTAAAATCTTTGGATTCAATACACACAAATACATTACATCTAAGATATACGTGTCACTAAATTTGAAATTTTAGCTTTAACATAATTTTAGTAGCTTTCAGACCTCTAAACGCAACACTGAACTTCTTAAATTTTCTATGATCCCCACTTGGAGTTTGTTGAAAAGCATTTTGCCAAAGCATTGGAGTAAATGTTTTGTTTGCTTTAGTCAGCTTATCTAAGCAGTCTAACTGGAACTGATATGCTGTTTGTCTCTCCTACACATTTTGGTATTTGGGGGATTGATTTTCTTTAAATCATTGCCTAAAACGTAATGAACATTCTTTCTTCTAGGAATAATAATGGTTGGGGTTATCGTTGGTTCAAAGAAGACTGGTATAAATCCTGATAATGTTGCTACACCCATTGCTGCTAGTTTTGGTGACCTTATAACTCTTGCCATATTGGCTTGGATAAGTCAGGGTTTATACTCCTGTCTTGGTAAGTTGATTTAAAACTAAATACTATGTGTTGTCTCAAGTCTCTTTAAATAAATACTTTTGCACTAATGCCATGAATCCCATGGTAGACTTCATTTGCATTAGAACCATTGTTGAGACGGATTAGGATAACTATCATTTGTTTTATACCTACTATGTGTTATGGTTCTCACTTTTTTTTCCTCGTTGAGTTTAAAACTCTATAAAAAATAAGGATTATCATCTCTAATTTTAGAGGAGAAAACCAAGGATCACAGAAGTTATGTATATTATCTAAGTTTATGCAACTACTAGTAAAAAAGTTGAACACAGGTTTATCATACTTTGTGATTTCTGTCCTTTCCTCTAAATGTACAGCAGCTAGGAGTCAACCTGCAGTGTTCTCTGCATAGAGCCGTCTCAGAAGATAAACTTATAAGTGGTACTAAAAATTTGCCAATGGAATGTTTTCTTCCCATCATAAACCCACACCAATAAGTAGCCAATAAGTAGCTTCACGGCAGTTAACAAAAAGGAAAAATGTCACCATGAAAATTAGCCTGAATGCTGTGTAAAGTTGGAGTCATATATGTAATTCCTGATGAATAGTGATAGAGTATTTACAGAATCTAATGAATTGTTTTAATGTAAATTTATGTTCTGGGTAAATGGCAAGCGGTAAATAAATATGATTTGTGAGCGTTGATTAAATGCTAAAAGTTCATTTTGGTTTTTATTAGTTTTAGATGCCAAATTAAAACAGAAACTAACAGCAATACAAGAAAAAAAATGAATATATAAGCCAAGCCAGAGGCAAACATTTGTTCACATAGCCTCACATATTTTCATGCATTCTATACAGATTTATAGTATACTTTAAAATAAATCTAGAGCACATTTCGTTTGAAGAAGAAGGGCCTCAGTTATGTGTTCTCGAAATAAAGAAAGGGCTTTAACCAACCAATGGCAGCAGTTTTCTGTGACTTTTTTAGATAGCAAGGAAGCTTCAATTTATTATATAAAATTGCCTTAAGTTATTTAGTAAGTGGCATAAAAACAATATTTAGTAAGACTTGGTGTATATGTTTAAGAAACATTTCTCTCATTTAGAAGATAAAGTTCCATCCACTTTAAGTGAGGTATAAGACAATAAATGGATCAATGGCCTAAATATAAGCTCTTGTTCCCAAAGGTCTTGGGTTTTTGTTGTTTTTGGGCAATTTGCAAAGAATGATATATGTCCAAGTATTTTAAGGACAACACTTAATTCCCTTCTCTCCCACTCAAAAAAAGCACAGAAAATAAGTTATGTTATTGAAGGAATAATCTTTTTTTTTTTTTTTTTTGAGACAGAGTTTCACTCTTGTTACCCAGGCTGGAGTGCAATGGCGCGATCTCGGCTCACCGCAACCTCCGCCTCCTGGGCTCAGGCAATTCTCCTGCCTCAGCCTCCTGAGTAGCTGGGATTACAGGCACGCGCCACCATGCCCAGCTAATTTTTTGTATTTTTAGTAGAGACGGGGTTTCACCATGTTGACCAGGATGGTCTCGATCTCTTGACCTCATGATCCACCCGCCTCAGCCTCCCAAAGTGCTGGGATTACAGGCGTGAGCCACCGCGCCCGGCAGGAATAATCTTAAATCTGCTCTAATGTACATTGTTTGGATGATAAATGGATAAGACTTTTTCCTTCTCTAAATTATTATACAATTTAGAAATAGATGCTAAAGTCAGGGATTGAAATATTAGCTTATGGCTAGTATTAGAAAATGTGACTTGATATTCTTCTACTCTATTAAACTCACCCACCACAGTCTCAGGCAGACAGCTGGACAACTTTTAGCCCTCACCCCATAGAACAAGCTGTTAACTGTATTGAGGAATAGAGACTGTCACTAATAGGCTGTATCTCAAGAGAGAAAACCAGTAACATCTTGAGTTAGGCATGAGTTAGTGCCCCTTTCCCTAGTATTACTGATTAGATAAGTCTCTCCCAATTTGAGGGGGAGGAAAGAGAGAGGAAAAGAGAAGTAGAAGAGGATAAAGGATTATGTCTAAATTTAATTAAAAGGACAAATTCTGAGGTTTGCCCAGGAACATAGAGGGTGGGGTAGGGATGGAGGGCTGGTAGTGGTTTTGGGATGGGTTCCCCTATATACATAACAAATACAGGTATATTATTTGCAGCTTTGGGTATTTAAATTACTACTAAGTCATTTTTAGCACACTTTTATTTATAACACATTATTTATAAGCAGCTGCATGTAAATACCAGATATCTCCTCAGTTAAAGACAGTGGCAAGAAAGTAAGAAAGAGAATGCCATTGAAGAATGTTATCGTGATAAACATGACAATTGTTATAATGTTACAGACGTAAGCACTATGAGATTTCAGAAGATAAACAACTATTGGGAGAAATAATGCACACTGACCTTTACAATTTAATTATATTTAATTAATTAATTAATTAATTTTTTGAGACAGAGTCTCTCTCTGTTGCCCAGGCTGGGGTACAGCAGCACAATTTAGGCTCACTGCAACCTCTGCCTCCTAGGTTCAAGTAATTCTCCTGCTTCAGCCTCCCAAGTAGCAAGGCAACCTCCACCTCCAGGGTTCAAGTGATTGTTGTGCCTCAGTCTTCCGAGAAGGTGGGACTACAGGTGCACGCCACCATGCCTGGCTAATTTTTTGTGTTTTTAGTAGAGACGGGGTTTTGCCATGTTGCCCAGATTGGTCTCAAACTCCCGAGCTTGGGCAATCCGCCTGCCCCGTCCTACCAAAGTGCTAGGATTAAAGGTGTGAGCCACTGCGCCCTGCCTAAAATTTTATATTTTTTAAAATTATACAAGGGATAAACTCTCCTTATAAAAGATGTACTCATAATGTGTTGCCATCTAAAGCTTTGAATATTTTGAATGTTATATAGTGATGCATTAATAATTTAACTGGATCAAGAAATAAAGTAAAATGGAATGTAACTATCACAGATCGTGATTTTGAAAAATAATATTATTGGCCGGGCGCTGTGGCTCACACCTGTAATCCTAGCACTTTGCGAGGCCGAGGTGGGTGGATCACCTGAGGTCAGGAGTTCAAGACCAGCCTGGCCATCATGGTGAAACCTCATCTTAAAATTTAAAAGATAAAAAATAAATAAAAAAGAAAAATAATATTATTAAATATTGCTTAAGATTTTGTAATGCTTGTCTTCTGAATGTTGGCTCAAAGTAATTCAAGTTGAATTAACTAAAATGGTCTTTTCCATTTTTTCTGCATCATTGATTCCCCTAAAAAGATATTTCTTACTGTGCTACAGATCAATTCCATAGTTCATTTAAGAGTTAAAGATATTACTAAAGTGTCTGTGTTCAGATTGCAAAAAGTGTCTGCTCTGTGAGCACTAGGGGGCCTCATAAGATCAGCAGTTGTATGCCTTATATTTTTATTCTGAATACAAAGCTTAGGAACAGGCACATTTAAATTTGAAGACCCCATTCATCCTGCTGAGAAGCTTCACTCTTGGAAACCAGATTTATTTTCTGAACTATATTGAAAATACTTAGCAGTCTTTAGAGATAAAAAGAGGATTTTATGATAGCAATAGGCTTTATAGAAGTCATGTATTGTATAGTGCTCAAAGAACTGGACATTAAGAAAAGTCTTATGGGCTCAATTCATCAAAAAGATGTAAAAATTATAAATATATATGCACATAACATCAGAGCACCTAAATACATATATGATCAATTGTTAACAGATATGAAGGGGAAAATAGTAAGACAGTAATAGCAGGGGACTTCAGTACCCCACTTTCAACACTGGAGAGATCATCTAGACAGAAAATCAATTAGGAAACATTGGACTTGAACTACACTTTAGACCAAATGGACCTAGCAGATATACACAAAACACTCCATCTAACAGCAGCAGAATACACATTCAAGTGCACATTGAACATTATCCAGGATAGATCATATGTTAGGCCACAAAACAAGTCTTAACAAAGAAAACTTTAAGAAGATTGAAATCATATCAAGTATCTTTTATGAACACAGTGGTATGAAACTAGGAATCAATAATAGGAAAAAAATTGGAAAATTCAAAAACGTGAAAATCAAACATCATGCTCCTGAACAACCAAGAGGTCAAAGAAGAAATCCAAAGGGAAATTAAAAAAAAAAAATTTTGAGACAAATAAAAATGTTAACACAACATACTAAAACCTAGGGGAGACAGCAAAAGCAGCTCTAAAAGGGAAGTTTATAGTGATAGACACCTGCATTTGGAAAGAAGAAAGATGTCAAACAACCAAATGTTACACTTCAAGGAAGTAGAAAAAGAAGAATAAAGTAAACCTAAAGTTAGCAGAAGGAAGGAGATAATAAAGACAAGAGCAGAAATAAATCAAATAGAGAATAAAGAATACATTAGAAAATGATGTATACATATATATATATGTATATATGGTTATGTATAAAAGATCAGTGCAGAAATAAATAAAGAATACATTAACAAAATTTAGTTGGCTCTTCTAACAAATAAAAGTGACACAAACTTAGCTAGACTAAGAATAAAAAAGAGAAGACTGAAATAAATAAAATCAGAAATAAAAGTGGAGACATGACAGTGGATACCTCAGAAATAAAAAAGATCCCTAGAGATGATCATGAACAATTTTAAGCCAACAACTTAGATAACCTAGAGGAAATGGATAAATTCTTAGAAACATATATCTGCCAAAACCGAATGAGGAAGAAACCAAGCCTGAACAAACCAATAACAAATAGAGTGATTAAAGTAGTAATTAAAAGCCTCCCAACAAAGAAAAGCCCAGGACCAGATGGCTTCATGACTGAATTCTACCAAACATTCAAATAATTAGTACCAATCCTTATCTTCCAAAAACGTAGAACTAGAGGGAATACTTCAAACTCATTTATCTTTATTTTTATTTTCAGAGATGAGGGTCTTGTTCTGTCACCCAGGCTGGAGTATAGTGGTGTGATTACAGCTCATTGCATCCTTGAACTCCTGAGCTCAAGCAGTCCTTCCATCTCAGCCTCTCAAGTATCAGGAACTACAAGTACATACAACCATGACTGGCTAATTTTTAAATTTTTTTTTTAGAGACAGGGTCTCACTGTGTTGTCTAGGCTGGTCTCAAACTTGTGGCCTCAAACAGTCCTTCTGCCTCAGCCTCCTGAGTTGCTGAAATTACAGGTGTGAGCCACTGCACCCAGTCCAAACTCATTTTATAAGGTCAGTATCACCTGATACCAATTTTCGAAAGAGAACACAAGAAAACAAAACTAGTTAGTTGTGGTGCCGCATACCAGTAGTTCCAGCTACTCTGGAGGCTGAGGTGGGAGGATCACTTGAGCCTAGGAGCTGGAGTCCTGCCTGGGCAATATAGTGAGACTCCCATCTCTAAAACAAAAACAAAAACAACATAAACAACAACGACAGAAATGAAAACTATAGGCCAATATCTCTGATGAACATAGCTGCAAAAATCTTCAATAACATACTAGCAAACTGAATTCAACAATTCATAAAGAATATGATACATCATGACCAACTGGGATTCATCCCTGGGATTCAAATATGGTTTAACATATATAGATCAATCAGTGTGATACATCACAGTGTGTTAATTAAAGTACCTAGAAATAAATTTAACCAAGGATGTGAAATATCTCTACAATAAAAACTATTAAACATTAATGAAATAAATTGAGGAAGACACAAATAAATGGAAAGTTATTCCATGTTTATGGATTGGAAGAATTAGTTTCATCCATACTATCCAAAGCAATATACAGGTTAAATGCCTTTCCTATCAAACTTTCGATGGCATTCTTCACAGAAATAGAAAAAAGAATTATAAAAATCATATGGAGCCACAAAAGACCCTGAATAGCCAAAGCAATCTTAGGAAAAACAAAGTTGGAGGCATCACACTTCCTGATTTCAAATTATGTCACATAGCTATAGTAATCAAAGCAGTTATAGTATAGAATAGACAATGGAATATGATAGAGAGCTCAGAAGCAAACCGAAACATAAACATTTTTAACAACTAATTTTTAACAAGGGCACCAAGAAGACACAATTGGGACAGAATAGTATCTTCAATAAATGGTGTTGGGAAAACTGGATATCCATATGCAAAAGAATGAAACTCGACCTTTATCTTACACGTACACAAAAATCAACTAAAAATAGATTAAAGACCTAAACATAAGACCTGAAGCCAAGTAACTCCTAGTAGAAAACATAGGAGAAAAGCTCCTTGATGTTGGCTTTGGCAGTGATTTTTTGGATATCACATCAAAAACTCAGGCAATAAAAGCAAAAATAAGTGAGACTACACCAAATTTAAAAATTTCTGCACAGCAAAATAATCCACAAAATGAAAAGGAAATGGCATCCTATGGATTGGGAGATGATATTTGTGAACTATATATTTGATAAGGAGTTAATATCCAAAATATATAAGGAGCCCATACAGCTCAATATAAAAAAAAACCACATAATCCAGTTAAAAACTGTGCAAAGGACCTGAGTAGACATTTCCCCCAAGAGCACATAAAAATGACGAACAAGTGTATGAAAACGTACTCAATATCACTAATCAAAGAAAAGCAAACCAAAACTGCAATGAGATATCACCTCACGTCTGTTAGAATGGCTATGATCAATAAGACAAAAGATAATGAGTGTTGGCAAGGATATGGAGAAAAGGGAAGGAATCCTTGTACACTGTTGGTAGAAATGTAGATTGGTGCAATTTTAATGGAAAACTGTGTGGAGATTCCTCAAAAAAATAGAACTACTACATGACTCAGCAATCTCCCTTTTGGGTATATATCCAAAGGGAATGAAATCACCCCCTCACAGAGATATTTGCACTCTCATGTTCATTGCAGCATTATTCACAATAGCCAAGATATGGAAACAACCTAAATGTTCCTGATGGATGAGTAAATAACAAAATTATAGTATATATACAATGCAATATTATTCAGTCTTAAAAAACGAGAATCTGCTATTTGCAACAACAGGAATGAACCTGGAAGACATTATGTCAAGTGAAATAAGCCAGACACAGAAGTAAAAATACTGCATAATCTCATTTATATAGAGAATCTTTAAAAAGATGTCAGATACGTAGAAACAGAGTAGAATGGTAGTTATGGGGGATGAGGGTTAGGGGTGGAGGTTAGGCAGGAAATGGGGAGATGTAGATCAAAGGGTACAAAGTTGTAGTTATGTAGGATGAATAAATCCAGAGATCCAATGACTGTACAGCATGAGGACTATAGTAATATTGTATTATAACTAGAATTTTGCCAAGACAGACTTTAGATGCAGTTACCACAAAAAAGTGGAAAGGGATGAATATCTGAGACAATAGATGTTAAATCACTTGACTGTAGTAACCATTTAACTATATCACTAACCACATAACTATATAAGTATATATACATATGTCTATCAAAACATCAAGTTGTACACCTTAAGTATGTATTAAAAAAAAAAAAAAAAGTCTTATTCAACTACTCAAAATTCTGGGTATTCTGAAATGACTGAATAGCCCCTCATGTCCAGTTAGCTTTCATACATGTACTAAGTTTCTCTGTATCCATTTGATGTGTGCTACCTTTCTTTTCTTTCCTTTTTTTTTTTTTTGGAGATGGAGTCTCGCTGTGTCGCCCAGGCTGGAGTGTAGTGGCACAGTCTTGGCTCACTGCAATCTCTGTCTCCCAGGCTCAAGCTGTTCTCCTGCCTCAGTGTCTTGAGTGACTAGGATTACAGGCACCCGCCAACATGCCCGGCTAATTTTTGTATTTTAGTAGAGAGGAGGTTTCGCCATGTTGGCCAGACTGGTCTCGAACTCCTGATCTCAGGTGATCCACCCACCTCGGCCCCCCAAAGTGCTGGGATTACAGGTGTGAGCCACCACACTCAGCCAATGTGTGCTACCTTTCTTTAGCTCCTGCAAAAATTTGCAGATTTCTGATATCTGAAATAAATAAGGAATTCTCCCCCTTTTCCTCTCTGTTCCTCCAAAAACAAAGCAAACAAGCCCAAAACTTTGTTTATTCCAATTGACTTTATTTTTTGTAGTCATCCTGAGTAACTCTTTATTGCTTAATGGATAAAGTTAAAGTTTTTTAGCCTGGTATTTAGGCCTCTCGGGGTCAGTTGGAAACATGCCTTCTCAAGCTTCTGGCTGCTTCTCCCATTCTGTAACTTTTCCTCCAGCCAAACTCAGCTGTTTACTGATCTCATATACTATCTATTTTTTTACTTAGTCTCCTCCCTCAATTCATTCCTCATTCTCCTGCCGCATTCATTCTCTTCTCCCCATCAAGGTCAGTCCAAATCCTTCTCATTTTTAAAGGTTACATTTATAGATTTTCCTAATCTTAGGTGATCTTTTTTCTCCTCTGAATTCCTATAGCACATAATTGACACTTCTGTATGACATGTTTAATGTTTAGCTGGTCATTATAGCTTTTTCTGTAAATGTAGTACCTTCTCTTATGAGGAGATAAGCTTCTTGAAGACAGAACTGTGTTTTTATTTCATTTATTTGTCGCACTCTGTAGTGCCATATACAAAATAGATGCTTAATAAACAGTACTTCACCAAATGCTTTATTCCTTTTAAAAGCATTCTAATTAATATGATTAGAAGTTATTCAGAATGATTTTGGCACAGTAGCTGTCCAATAAAATAATAGATTGTAGCAAAAAAATCGTTTTGATGAGAACGTAGTATTGGGGAAACATTGGAAGGATATCTTGTCTTAGCAGAAAGTATCTAGAAATTAGTACAACTATAGAAAAATAAAAATGGCAATGCATGGCTAGAAAAGACCTATTTCAAATGGAAATAGAAAGTTCAGAGAGTAATGTAAGCTCTGGATTCTGATATACTTTCGTATGGCTTGCAGGAATCATATAAAGGCATTTATACATTCATATAGTAATCTTTAAACATATAGTGATCTCTAAAAGCTATTCACAGGATTCAATATTGGGCCAGTAACTGGAATATATGTTCACATGATTGTTGCTCTTTCTTTCTGTTTACATACATTCCAAGATTTTTAAAATTCCTTTTCACATATTTATAACTGCATGGTTACAGTATATAATTCCTGTGTGGACATGATATTTATTGGTTTGAAAAAATTAATAGATTTTTTATTTTTACACGAGATCTGAGAAGCAAAATGTTAATTGATTTTTCATTTTTCAAGATTAACTTAAAAAGATGGCTTAGCTGAAGCTGTTAGCCTCAGGTTACTGCATTCCTATGGAGATGTTCTAGAATGGTCTGTAAATAACCAGGTGGCATCCTAACAAGGATGGCATCCTAACAAGGATGCCACCTGGTTATTTACAGACCATTCTAGAATATCATTGCCTTAATGGGGTGGTGTGAATAGAATCTAAATTTATCTTGAATGTCTCTATGCTTGAGGCATTTTTAGCACTGTACCATCTTAGGTTAGAGTGATTTCTAGAATATCAGTTCCCTGAGAAAATGTAGATTGATTATTAAGGGGCATTTAGAAAAAAACTGCAACTGACAGTACCCATTTGCTTTGTTGTTTACATAGAAATAGCTAATATATAAAAATTGTCAATCATAACAGCTACATATTTCAGAAGAATTTGAGGTGAGAATGATGAACACTATTAATGAAAAGATATAATAGCAGTTGGGAAATGCCATCAACAATACAAAAGGTGAAAACTGTGAATCACAAAAGATGCTAGTTATGTTTGCCAGTTAGGTGGCATCAGAGCAATTTGAACCACTTTTGCTGTGTTAATCTTTACTTTTCTATAGTTTGCCTATATTACAGAATCAGTATTAATGGATATGGACATTTATTAGGCTTAAAATTCCAAAAAGTTTCAAATATGCATGTATTATCTATTGCTGTTGTAACAAATTACCACAAACCCTGTGGCTTAAAACAATAGAAATGTTTTTTGGGTTTTTTTTTGTTTGTTTTGTTTTTATAGTTCTGGAAGCTGGAACAATTACAATTAAGTATAAATTCAAAATGAGTTGTATAGGACTAACATCAAGGTGTCATCAGGGTTGGATCCTTCAGGAGGTTTCAGGGGAGAATCTGTCTCTTGCCTCTTCCATCCTCTGATGGCTGTCTGCTGGTGTTCTTGGCAGGTACCCACATGACTCCAGTCTCCGCTTCTGTGGTCACATTGCCTTTTCCTCTTCTGCAGCCAAATCTGCTCCTGTCTCCTTCCTATAAGGATATCTGTGATTATATTTAGGGCTCACACAAATAATCCAGAATAATATTCCCATCTCAAAATTCTTGACTTAATCATATCTGCAAAGCCCCCTTTGCCATATAAGGTAGCATTAACAGGTTCTGTGAATTATTATAGATTTTATTCAGCCTACCCTAATACCCATTATGATATACCCAGATTTTAATACAAAATATTATTTTAACCAGGATCTTTTAAATGTATTTCATTTAGAAGAAAGATGATTTTACATTTTAATGTGAATGCAGAAGTTCATCGTTGGCTTTTAATTGACTATTTCTTCTTGTTGCTTGTGTCACTGATGGTTTTCTAAAAGTAATTCTTTAATTTTATGACATCTGTAAAACATCAGTATATCCAAAAAAGAGGAAAGTTTGTAGCATCTTTTTTGTACATTTGTAATTTTCCCTGCCTACCAAAATTAGATCAGAAGTTAGCCAGGAATAAGTTAGGAGGGTCCTATAGAATTGTCCATATGGTTTAATTTGGTGGGAATAGGCATGTTGGATTTTGCAGGTAATCGAAGTAGAACACATTTGCAGTAAATCATTTGGAAATTTGAGTTTTATCATGGTTTTCTCACTATTTTAATATTTAAAAACTTTTATTTGAAGATAATATATTTATAGAATAGTTGCAAACATCAAAACAGTACAAAAAACAAAACAAAACAAAAAAAACACCTGCATACTCTTTACCTAGATTCACCTAAGGTTAACATTTTAGCCCATTTGCTTTATCTTTTGTTCTCCTTCTCTATGTACGTATATATTCTCCTTTGTCTTTAATGACATTGACAGTTTTGAAGAATATAGTCCTCTCTCCTGTTTTCCCCTCTGTGAGGAATTTTAAAAATTGGACGTAATTCACATGCCATGTAATCCCCCTTTTTAAAGTGTACAATTCAGTGGGTTTTGGTATATTCATAAGATTCTATAAGCATCACGGGGATCTAATTCCAGAACATTGTCATCACCTCAAACAGAAATGCTGGGGCTGGTGTGGTGGCTCATGCCTGTAATCCCAGCATTTTGGGAGGCTGAGATGGGAGGATCACTGGAGCCCAGGGGTTCAAGGCTGCACTGGGCCAAGATTATGCTATGGCACTCCATCCTGGGTGACAAAGTGAGACCCTGTCTGTAAACAAAACAAAATACTTTAGCAGTTCCTCCTCATTCCACCCCTCCTCTAACAATCACCAATCTATCTTCTCTTTGGATTTACCTATTCGGGTATTTTAAATAAAAGTAATCGTACGATATGTGACCTTTTGTGTCTGGCATCTTTCAGTTAGCATAATGACCAAGTAATATTCCATTATGGATACACTATGTTTTGTTTATTCACCATTTGATGAACGTTTAGGTTGCTTCACTTTTTGGCCATTATGGTTAGTGCTGCTATGAACATTCAAGTTTTTATGTAATGTACAAGTTTTTATGTAAATACATTTTCCATTCTGTTGGGTGTACATGAAGGAGTAGAATTGCTGGGTCAAGTTGAACTCTGTTTAAGTTTTTAAGGAACTGCCTGCTCATTATTTTTAGTTTATTTCCTAAGGCATTTTTTCTCCTCTTTGAAAATTCAGGGCAGTGATTCTGGGGTGTGGGTGCTTTTTTCAACTTCAGAAGTCCTTCCAAAGATTTAATGTTGAGGATAACTTCTTTAAAGTCTAGCAGGATGCTCCTCTCTTGACCTGAGAATAAAATATTAAGATGATCTGACCTAGCAGAATAGTTCTTTTCATTTGTGTTTAGTGGTTTAAGATGCATTTTGTTTTCTATTTAGTCATATTAAAGAGATTGTTGGCAACCTTAGTCATTTTAGTAGATTGAAATGCTTCCTAACTGGGATGTTATTTATCCTTATCTATTGGCTTACAAGGAGAACCGGGAATCCATTCAACAAATGAAAGTTTTTTTTCATCCTTTAAAAAATCATGGAGAAAATGACACAATGTAGCGTTAGTCATATTTCTTTAAATAGAAGAAAATACAAAAATTAATTTTGTTAGTATAATTATTTTCAAGATGTGATGGCAAATCCATACAAAAGCTTAGGAGTAAAATTTGTTTATCTTTATTTTAATATCTATAATAATTGCTTATTCCTATGTGATATGGAAAAAATGAAAATTTGGGGTTTCTATAGTTCAAGCATCTTAAGTCGTAGGTGAAAAGATCTTAAAATATTTTAAGAAGCTAAAGAAATACAAAAATCAATCAAAGATAAGAGTTGGGATAAGGGTTGCAGCATTCTGTAAGATCAAAAAATTAAGTAACATTTAACTTAGATTAAGTAATCTAAGGCTGTAGGCTACAGGACTGAGAGATAAACTCTGCCTTTTAGTTAAAAAGTATTTACTCTGCATAATAAATTAATTAGCATTATGGAGAAGAAGGCAGGAATATCCTAGTTGAAATAATAATGAAACTTTGATCAGCTAAAATGATATTATCAGAAAAATGCCTTGAGATGATAAGACTTTCAATAAGGGATATGCAGCTTTTAACCCTAGGGAGATTTACAATGAAATATGAATTGAGAATCAAACTCATAGAGTTAATAATTATATGCCATTTTATATACTTGTAACTTAGCTAGTTAGAGTAACATGTCAGTTATCCAATTCCATTTTAAAATTTATATTTAAGGACTGGCATGGTGGCTCATGCCTGTAATCCCAGCACTTTGGGAGGCTGAGGCAGACAGATCACTTGAGGTCAGGAGTTTGAGATCAGCCTGGCCAACATGGCAAAACCCCGTCTCTACTAAAAATACAAAAGTTAGACGGGTGTGGTGGTGTGTGCCTGAAGTCCCAGCTACTCAGGAGGCTAAGACAGGAGAATCGCTTGAATCCAGGAGGCGGAAGTTGCAGTGAGCCAAGCCACTTCACTCCAGCCTGGGAGACAGAGCGAAACCCTGTCTCAAAAACAAACAAACAAACAAACAAACAACAAGAACGAAAAAACGCCGGGCATGGCGGCCAGCACTTTGGGAGGCCGAGGCAGGTGGATCACGAGGTCAAGAGATCGAGACCATCCTGGTCAACATGGTGAAACCCCGTCTCTACTAAAAATACAAAAAATTAGCTGGGCATGGTGGT